TAACAGTCAGTGAAATGTAATTGTAAAAATGAATAGAAAAAAATGGATGAAAACAATATTCCCATGTTGAATTTACACCACAGTGTCCTATTTCACCATGTTTGATGTCCAAAACTGTAAATAATTGTAAATAATAATTTCATGACGTGTTGGTCTGCTCTACTATCAGTTTAAACAGCATCATTCTTAGTTTTGAAGTATTTGTAAAATTACTGATCTGCTTTAAGCAAAAGTTCATGAATTTAGTCATGGAAATAAAACAGTCATTCATTTGGATAAAGGGTTGAATCAAAAACTGTGGGCTGACTAATCCATTGTGCTTGCTGACTTAATGACAAACTGTGAAGGATAATTTGATTTGCATATCTTATTTGGTCTTTCTAATTGATGCTTTGCACATTATGCTGTCAGAATCAGCTCAAGTACAAGTGTGGATGTTATTTTCCAAAATGCTTGTGAGTCCTAATACGGACTCTGTGTTAAAAACTTGAACCAGTACATTCTCCCTTCCTAAAGATACTTTCACACGACCATCATCAGGGTTCACAGAAAATGGACTTAAAAGAGAAAACATCCAGTGAGCAGCTATTCTCTGGGTAAAAATAGCTTGGTGATGTCACAGGTCAAAAGGCGAATTGATAAAATGCTTACAGCTGTTATAACACTTGCCAGCAACACTTGTTACAACCAACGTATGCAGAACATCATCTCTGAAAGCAGAACACATTGAAAATGAGAAAATTAGAAAAAACATTTGTTGTCAACAACATGAAAGGTGGTTCATGTTCACTTTGTGGTGTAATTGCTGTGGATAGTGCAGTGCTGTATGCGCCCCTGAGTGCCAATCAAGCATCTTTTTTTTTTCAATGCAATTCAGTTTTATTTATACAGCACCAAATCACAACAGTCGCATCAATGCACTTTATATTGTAAAGTAGACCCTACAATAATACATACAGAGAAAAACCAAAGAATCTCTTTCCCACTCTGAGCAAGCACTTTGGCGACAGTGGGAAGGAAAAACTCAATTTTAACAAGAATAAATTTCCGGCAACGGATGTATCGCCAGATATGTTATTTATTTGTTTATTTATTTATTTATTTTTCCCTGTCCTGTTTCGCTCTTTGGCCATCAGAATTATTGTCTAAAGGCAAAGAAAAATGTCCAACAGATTTACTTTACCAAATCGACCAACCCAGCCTTGCCGTATTGGTCTATTTGATTCGCCTTTTATTGTTTATTTTATTTTAACCTGCTAAATACGGGACAGACTTGACTGGGGAAAAGAAAGAGAGGAATCAATCAAGCATCATATAAAGGCCAAAGCCTACCTGAGTATTGTTAGTGTCCATGTTGTCATGGTTGAAAGATTTCTGGATCCAAGTTACCTACCAAAGTTAAGGACTTTAATTATAATAAATGATCAAAAAGGCTGAATCGAAGTTGGCTCTAAATTCAGTCTTAGGAATAAGGTAATGTCTGAGAGGCACAGTTAGACTGGGCAGGCATGGCTGAGTAGGGTTACTGCGAGTTTGGTGAGTTTGATGAGTCTGGCAGACCACAGAGCAGCAGATGCTGTTGCTATTTTATTGAGAAATAAATATTTGAATTAACATTTCAGAGGAGCATTCCAGGCACATTTAGACATCTTAATAAACAAGCCTCATAAAATGTCAGAAATGACTTTTGTGCCAAATCTACTTATCAAAGTAATTGTAATATAGCTGCAGTTTGAACCAGTCTAGCTGATCTGTGAGCTGATTTGATGCTCTAATAATCTTCTAATCTGGATGAAAGCAATAAAGGCCAGTGAGTGAATAATCAGACTGATTCATTTCAGTTAAGCAGCAGTTTGACATTTCAGGAAGTACGCCTCGGCGACATTGTTGCCTCTCTAATGTCTGGCTTATAAATGCTAATTTTCTCCAGAAGATACAGACTAGATTGTTTTATGTTGTGGTTTTACACATTAAAAATATAACTGTCTAACTATTTGTTTAACTTGTTACAAAGGAATAAGAAATGTCAGTTTTGAATGTTCCCTTTGCAGTATGGTAAACGAATCTGCATGAAGCGTTACTATTTCTTAAAAGAGTGTAAACATGAGAGTATGGATTTTTAAAAGCAAAACCACAACTAACTGTTATTACTATTTGATGCATTTACAAAAAAGAAAAAAAAATACATTTATTAAATAAAAGAAAATGATATACATTTCGAACTAATTTTCTCATCCGAGACTTTTATGAAAAAACTAATATGTTTTTTTTTTTCATTTAATATACCATCAAACCAGAAGAAACTGAGTGAAGAATGATGATAAAAAATGACATCCGACTGAGAAACTTCTTTTTTAATGACTTAAAAGATTTTATTATTACATGCCTGATGTTTTAAAATAAAACAAAGACAGTTTTTATACAGGCAAAAGGTTAGACAGTCCTGAAAACATGGCAGGTTACAGTGAGCTGGTATTAAAACAATTCCCTGCAGAAAATATCATGTTGTGTGTCACAAGAGTCAGAGACGTCATTACGAATAAAATAGAAACTGATTGCTTTTTACACACCTGACCCCCTCGAAAACAACGCTCCCATCCCATCTGCTGCATTCAGTCCCTCAGGGAGCATGGCTTTACTGGCTCAGAGGGATTGAGTTCATTTGTTCATGCGTGCCTCAGTTTAATCCTAAATCCTTTAATTGTCAGCCGAGATTGATAGAATTGCCGGACTCTGACTGAATCACTGCTTTTGCATTGATTAATTTAAAATTAAATATCTTGTTTTGCATGTTCACAGCAGGCACATTATCAAAATCGGAGCTTGGAGAGCTTTTAGTATCTTGGTGAGCAACAAGTCAAGTTACAACCTGAGGCCACTGAGGTATATCTAAAAGGCTTGAGGGAAAAGGTTGTGTGCCACTAAGGGGTTGCTTAAGTGATTAACTGACTTCAGAGTGCAGAATTGAGTTTAAAGCATGACCTCTGAGTACGCTGCCATCAGGGGAACAAAGGGCTCTAGAGTTCTTGCCCTCATTCAGTCTCCACTGACCAGAAGATAGGATGGTGGGGAAAATTGGTCTGGCACTAAGTGGTCCTCAATCAGCTTTTTATTGACCTAGTACGCAGTTTCTGCAGCACATAATCAGTTTTTGTTTGTCTTTCACCCCATATTAATCTTGAGTTGTCAATCTACTTGGCAAATTCTTATTAAGAAAATATAATTTTAGCAATCAGCTGTGTTGGAGTGATGTATTTATGTATGCAGATCTCGTTATTTAATTGACAAAGTTTAAAATACGATAACAAATGCACACTCACTCAATGCTTTATTAATTGTACCTTTTTAGTACCAGTTCAACCCAATTCTGTCTTCAGATATGCTTTAGTTTTTTGTGGAACAACAAAGAAACATTCCTCAGAGATTTTCAGATATGCAGATTCTTCAGCTGCATGTCCATGATGAGAATCTACCACATCCCAAAGGTGCTCTATTGAAGCTCCGCTGACTATGGAGGTGACTCGCATACAGTGAAATCCTTGTCATATTCAAAATAAAGCCTGAGTTAATCTGAATTTTGTGGCACATTAACCTGGTGCAAGCAGCCATCAGAAGGTATACACTGTGTATGGACCTGGTGTGGTCTTCTGCTGTACTTTCAGAGATGCTCTTCTGCATACATTGCATGTTAAAAATGGTTATTTGAATTACTGCTGCCTTCCTATCAGTTCAAAGCAGAACTGTTGCTCACTGAATCTTTTCTCTTTTTAGACTATTATCTTTAAAGTCTAGAGGTGGTTGTGTGGGAGAATCCCATCAGATCAGCAGTTTCTGGAGTTTCAGCCCGTCTTCCGACAACAATCACGGCATGTGCAAAGTTCCTAAAATCCCCTTTCTTCCCCATTGAAATGCTCTGATCATACTTTAGCCGGTCACCTTGACCATGTCTACATGCCTAAATGCATTGAGCTACTGCTGTGTGACTGGCTAAGTGTACATTATTAAAAGGTAGTTGTCTGTACCATCTAACTATACTTTACTTACAAAGCTGGCTGAACACAATTTGTACAGTAATATGCTGCTAGGAAAACAGTGTTAGTTTAAAAACCACAGAAATAATTTGGAATTAAATGGTATTCTATGCATCTTTTTAGTGTTTTTTATTCCTGAATTTGAAAAAAAAACTGTCTCGCTGGTTACTGTTGGAGTGTCCTATTAGTGCTCCAGTGTCATAAACATTGCATTTGTAAGTGCACGGGTGCAGTATGATGTTCATTGTGTAATATCTCTGCTGCCTCAGGACACAATTATGGTGCGAGGGAAGTACACTTGTATTGTCTTGCTGTGCTTGTTCTGTGGCTCTCTGCAGTTGGAACAGCATTAATGGACATGTACTTAGTGGCAAAAAGAAATATGCAACATACAAGAGGTATTTGTATGTGGTTTTCCCCTATTTTTAATAATTATGCACTGAACCGTTCTTACATTTGCGTGTTAGGACTAATAAGAATGAAATATCATCAGACACCCGAAACCCTCATTGACTTTTTATTTTTTCCACACAGCCTAGAGACAAGTGATGACAGTGGGGGTGATTTCTATTCCTCTTGTCCTGCCTTTGTTAGACGACACATTAATGAGAGGCAGAGACGGGAAATGCTGGAAAAGAGGGAGCTAAAGAACATGGAAAGACATTTAAGAAGTATAGATTTTTGAGTCCTAGAGTGATTCCTGAGACACATTTAAGTATTTTTCCAGTTATTGTGATCTTTTTGCTGCCATAGATCATCAGCCACCTTGATGAGTCAGAAGCAGCTAAATAAAGGCCATCGAGAGTATATTTTAATTTCAGTTTTGGTGTAATAATGATGGATTGACTCCACCTGTATGCATTTATTTGATTCCTATTGATACATATTATATATATATTATACAATTTACTTTACATTAAACATTATTTTATTTATAAGTGTAACTGGTATGTGCTTTTATTTTTATAGAAATATCATCACTGTATGGCTGGACTACTCGCCCCACCCTATGGTGTCATGGAAAGCGGTTGTAACGCAGACAGTAAGTGACCTCGTTTGGACCTAACAACTATATATTTCATTCCTAACTTTGTCAGTTATTATTAGCAGTTACGCCATCATAATCAACAAGTGCCTCAAAATCACAGCCTGTCCTGTGATTTTGAAGCGTTCACTGAACATTGCATAAAATTTCATGCTAACATTCAACTGTAAAATGTCGCAGTGCTGATGCTCCGACACGTTTAAACACAGTAGCTTGTACAGATGGTTATAGTCTTAAAAGCTTGTAGATTTGTTTTACTTTCAGCAGCTTTTATGTCACAAATGATAAAACATTTTCGTGGCCGACGGTGTAGAGAGACAGGAAATTTAGAGAAAGGGCGCCTCCGTTTCACTAAATGAAATGGAGCAAGAGTACAGGCAGAAAAAAAGTACTCACTGCTGATGTGCTTCCTAATTGCTCGGCTGCCATGCCGTCCTCAAGTTGATTCAGTTTACTTCAGTGTTAGTATGTTGATTGTCTTCAGAGTTTATCAAGATGAAGAAGAAATTCTTCATTTTACAGTAAATGGCTCCTCTGACTTTATAAATGTTTTTACAAACAACCAATTTTTCTGCTCCTACGAATAAAAAGGATCTTTTATTGTATTTCTTTCTGACTAACTCCATTACTGTTGGAACCTCTGGCATTGTGTCGAGGCTGATACTATCATTTCTGCTTTTCTGTTGCAACCTAACTTGATATTGACTTTGCTCTGCACTTGCTCTGCACAGAGCACTTAACTTGCTTCAAAGTCACGTATCATAAAAATGATGAACGGCAGTCCATAAATCCACAGTCTGCTGGTTTACCAACACTGGGGTCACTGTCTATTGTTATGTATTTTTAATGATGATGGACATATTTTAAAGAAAATGCTTTTTAAAGATTTTCCTGTAAAGAACTCCCAGCCTCAAACTTACAGTCCCTAAAGCTAAGATTTTATTAACTACTGTAGCTTTTAAAAGTGGATGTGCCTTTTTGGTTGCTGCATGCTTTGCTGCAGCAATATAAGAGCTGGGGTTTGAGTATTTTGCAGCATAGAGTTGAGTACTGAGGGGTTTTACAGCCTGAACTCGATGCACGGATGCAGAAAGACATAAGTCACACAAGCACCGGCGGCTCGAGGCTGAAGCACTCTCCTGTGCAGAGGCTCAGCCGCTTTGTTACTGTCACAGCAAATCAAATGAATTAAACATGTTTTAAACTGTTTTCTTACAGTGCGCTTTTAAATCACTTTGTTATTAACAGGTCAGCATTGTTTCCTTCACTCCAGTCATGCACTCCACCTAAGCATGCATTTGTTTGGCCACTACAATGGAAAATATTTCTGCTCAGAAACAGCATTTTTCTTTCCTGGCAAATGACTAACACTTGGTTTAACTTTCACTTTACTCTACATTCCTGGTTGAATGAATGGACTGATATCACAGCTTTGCAAACAGAATGATGGGCAGATGTGTTAACTTCTGTAAACATGCATAAATTCTATACAAACACATAACATGAAAAATATAATTCATACTAAAACCGTGCAAGGCTGGTACATATCTTTAATGTTAGCACGAAATGCAATGACCCTCTCTGCTGCTGAAGCTTTCAATAAAATGCAGAAATCCTCCGGGCTGAACCACGTATACAGTAGGTTATATAAGATGTTTGTGCTTTCAGTGTTTTTCACTCTTTTTTGCACTTGTGGTGAGGAGAACTTTGGGGAAATTAATTTTTTAAGGATTAATATTAAACAGAAACCATGATGTCAACTGTAAAAGCAACTATGTATGGAGTTTTTTCACAAAATGTTAGGATGTAAACATTTTTCCATCCTGTAAAAGTGAGTACTTTTATTTTTATTTTTGACAGTTGTTTGCACGCTGGCAGTAGAGCAGATAAAATGTAGAAAGAAATGAAACAACAAGATACAATTTTAGGCATGTAGATATTTTCAAGACATCTTTGAACGTGGTTTGGTTGTTGATTCTTGACAGGCTGGTTGGAGTATTTCAGAACACAACCTACACTATTGGTTTACAGAGAATGGTCAGAAGAAGAGCTGGAGTTCTCTTTGTAAATATGCCTTGTTGAAGCTAAAGGTCAGACAAACATGGCCAGACTACTTCAAGCTGATTTAAAGGCAAGAGTAACTCAATTAACCATGTGTTACAACCAAGGTTTGCAGAAGAGCAACTCTGCATATGTAGCACATTGAACACAGAAGCAGATGGGCTGCAGCGGCAGAAGACCACAGTGGTGCCACTCCTGTCAGCTGAGAACAGGAAACTGAAGCTACAGTTTGCACAGTGTCACCAAAACTGGAAAAACACCAAAGATGTCCAGCTGAGAAATCTGCAGCAACTATGTGATGTTATCGTGTCAATATGAGCCAAAATCAGCACCTTGTTGAATGTATGCCATGAGTAATGAAGGCACTTCTGAAGTCAGGGTGGTCCAACAAAAAGAAATAGTATGAAGAAAGTGTAGTAATGCAGGCCAACATAGTCTGACATTCAAACCACTGACAGTTATTCTACAGAGTCTATGGAGGAACCTAATTATTCAGCATAAAAAAAATGACCATTGAACAGTCTAAGGAGCTTGGAAAGAAAAGCGTCTGGACTTCTTTGAGTTGCTTGAAGACGTTTCACCTCATTCTTCAGAAGCTTCTCGGATGAGAGGAGGTGGAGGTGACTGAGAACCTTCACACAGCCACTGAATATTCAGGATGCAATTTTTAATTAAAAAATTCTAACAGAACATGTACAGTATATGCAACTTTTTTGTTTTCAAGGATTAGTTGATTTTTGTTATAGTAAATTTGATTCCCCTGTAAAGCTTCTTGTGTGTGTGTTTTACTTATAACTTTAGCGGACATCTCAGTGATTATAAAGTCTTTTTTTTCTCTGCAGCTTTGCAGGATCTTTACAGATCCTTCATGACTAACATACATCCTCTGTTTTTCCCCACCAGGACTGCCTGACAAAGAGAACATAAGCAACAACTCGTTTGTTGTCTCCAAACCTCTGAATAAGGTAATTCCTCTGTCTCTATTTAGGATGAAACCTTTTCATTTTATGAGGGCGCAAGAGCATCCTGTACTGTTGCTCACCTCCTCAGTGGGGCACAGAAATAAGTGTGGAATGTGAAGTTTGTTTAAAGTTGCTCTAAATATAAACACAGTACTGGATTTTTCGTCTCCATCCCAAACAGTTCCTGTCCCCTCTCCTGCTGTCATTTCCTGACCACTGAGTTGATAACGCTGCACTACAGCAGATTTATGGAGCTACATGCGTTGTTCACTTATGGAGTTTAGCCACATCACAATCGCTCTCTTACACAAAAAGAGAAACTGAAAGTGTGCATTCTTGTTATGTAACCGACAAAGACAGAATTAATTTACTATAACATATATAAATAAGCCCAGTTTCTTTGGCAACTGAGTGGTCTAATGTCTTGTAAATAAATGATGAGGCTTTAAAGCTTTCACATAAATGCATGACTTGCACTGCTCTCTGAAGCATTCAGAATGCATTTTAAATGTCAAAGTCCTGCAGCCCACCCCATGGCCATCCTCAGCTGGAAAAATCAAAAACAACAACAACAACAACAAAAAAGCACTCCCAGACTGTAATTCACAGTATCTGTGTCCCATTAAAGCAACTGAATGCATCAGTCAAGACTCTGCTAACGGAACGGTATGGAAAGTAAATGAAAAGGAAATAAAAATCACATTTGAATGCAATAAAATCATAATGTCAGCTGTGAGTCATGCAGTAACAGCGAGGATGAGATCCTGTGGCCCCACAGTGAGAGGAAAAACATCAGACCGGACTTGTC